CCCAAAATTCCCCTGGGAAGGGGCAGGACCAAGCTGCTCCATCCTCCCCCATCCCCTTCTGCCCCTCCACGCCCCCGGGGCAGGCTCAAACCGCAGCCCCCGTTTCCCCCTCCCCAATTCCCCGGTCCCGGGGGTCTCACCCTGCACCAGAGCGTGGCTGCGGTTCCAGATGCCGACGCAGCATTGCCCGGGGGGGCAGCGAACGGCGGCGGCCGCCGCGCCCCCCGCGACCCCCAGCGCGCCCCGCACGCTCGGGTGCTTGTAGGACACGCAGGTCAGGTTCTGGGGGCCTGGGGGGACACACGCGCACCTGGGGGTGGCTTCTAAGCCTCCAAAAAGCCCCCCCCAGCCTCGGCCGTGCCCCCCCAGCACCCACCTGGGTGCCCCATGGGAGCCTCCGCGGGGCCGGTGGGGAGCGGAGCCGAGCAGGAGGAGGAGGAGGAGGAGGAAGAGAAGGAGATGGAGGAGGAGGAGAAGGAGGAGGAGGAAGGTGCTGCCCCCGCATCAGGGAGGAGAGAGCCGGGGTGTCTGGGGGGCAGCCAGGCCTGGCCCCCGCCCTGAGCACCCAAATGGAGCTCAGTGTCTCCTGTCCCTGCTGGTGCCACTCTGGGACCGACTGTACCCCCAAAAACCGGCCCGTGACCCCCCAAACCCGGCCTGTGCCACCCCAAATGGAGCTCAGTGTTCCCTGTCCCCACTGGTGTCATTCAGGACTGACTGCATCCCTGCCACCCAAACCCCCCCAAAATCCAGCCGTGCCCCCCCAAAGGGACCCCCGCAGACTTCCAGACAACGCCAGCGACTCGTGTTTATTACAAAAAGAACTCGTCGTTCCCCATTTACAAAGGAGCCCCCCAAAACTAACAGTTTCATCTAAGTCTTTTTGTACAAAAAAATAGCACTTTGGGACCCAAAGAAAAAAAAAAATCATCCACCACCCCCCCCAAATAGAATCGCCTTTGGGGGAGGGGAAGGTTCATGACATCAGCCACCGGATTTGTAAAAACCAACCCCCCTCCCCTCCCCTTCCCCAAATTAAAACAGAACAGAGACGGGACGAGATCAAACAGGGAGAGAATTATTGCCAGTTTGGGGGGGCTGGACCCCCCAGGACCCCCCTGCTGCATAGAGAACCGGCCCCGGCCCCCCCGGAATGAAGGGGTGACAGTGGATTAAAGCTGGGAGATGGGGGCAGCCCCCAGAGCCCCCCCAAACCCTCTGAGGGGTGTGGGGGGCGGGAGGGGAGCAGAGGGGGCTCACCCCAGCCTGTCACCCCCTTGTCAAGGCACGTTTGTGTTTTGTGTCCCGGGAATGGCTGGGGGGGGATTTGGGGGCTGCTGGGGGGGTGGGGGGTGCCAGGAGCAGGGTGGGGACCCCGGTGCCGACAGAGCCAAAATGGGGGTGGTGGATCCAGCTGCCCCCCCCGGCACCGGGAGCAGTGCTGGTGGTGTGAACTCCCAAAAACGCTCTGATTTCACCCCAAAATTCTCTGATTTCACCCCAAAATGCTTTGATCCCCCCCCCAAAATAACCACAGGGGAGCAGCCCAGGCTCTGAGCAGAGCCCCATCCCCGGGGACCCCCTCCCCGCCGGCTGCGTTTCCATAGGAAAGCCAGGCTCCTCTGGGGACAGTCCACGGGGAAGGGACACCGGGGACATCACCGGGGACATCCCAACACCGGATCCAGGATCGGGTTTGGCACTTGATCCCCGCTGGGAACGGAGTTGGGCTTGAGCGGGGGGCAAAAATCATCAAATTGACCATTAAATTAAGAAACCTCCTGTTTTTTGTCCCAATCCTTTGTGGGTTTTGGGCTGGGGGGGCTGGGGGGGCTCATAGTGCTTCACAGGGTTATTAAAATACAAATGCTTAAAGTTTCCTATATAAAAATATACAAATGCAAAAATAGATATCGAGAGAGAGAGCCGGGGGGGGCTGGGGGGGCCGGGCCCTGCGCCCCCTCCCCGGGGAGCTTCTGCTGCCTTTCCTTTTTTTTTGTGTGTGTGTTTTTTTCTTACAAAAAAAACCAAAATCAGAACAAGATTCCCGCTTCCCGCAGGCTCCCGGCGCTCGGGGCAGCAGCTCCAGTTCCTCTCCAGAGCCCTCCCGAGGGATTCCAGCGGCTCCCCTGCTCCTGGCTCTGCTGGAGCTTCTCCCGGGAAAGGGGAGCAGGAGAGGGGTGGGAAGCACTGCGAGGTGTGGGGGGGCCGCTCCCCACCGCCCTGGCAGGGAAAATGCCCAACTTCTCTGTGGGAATGGCCCGGGGCAGGTGGGATCCCGGGGTCCTCCCCTCTGCGCCCCCCGAGAGAGGGGGGATCACGCCCTGACCCCAAAACGGGAGCAGGGAAGTTCTTGGTCAGCTCCATCCCCTCGAGCTCAGCTCCTCCTCGTCCCGGGGTCGTTCCAGGGCCCCCACCCTGCTCAGGCCCTGCTGGGCTCGCCCCAAATCCCGGATTTCCCCTGGGGGGGGGGGGATCCACACCCTGCACCCCACAGCCCCGACCTGGGATGGGACCCGGGCAGGGCGCCCGGGATGTGCGTGGGGCAGGAAGAGGAGGGTGTGGGAGGAAGAACGGAAAGGACCCGGCCCTCCCACGGCGGGAAGAGCAGGATCCTGGAAAACCCTTTTTTGGGTATTTTTTTCCAAGCTGTCCCTATTTCCAACACCCCTTTTTTTTTTTTTTTTTTTTTTTTTTTGCCGGGAGCCACCTCCAGCAGTGCCACAACAGAACCCCGAGGGTCCCTCGTGTCCCTGCGGCGCTTCCCCCTCGCTCCAGACCGGCTGAGCTCCAAAGATTCTCCTTTTTCCCCATTATTACTATTATTATTAATTCCAACGCTGGCTGTAATAATAAAAAAAATCAACTTTTCCCCCCCGAGGAGGCTGCAATCGTCCCCCAGGGCTGCGTCCCAGCCCCTCTGTCCACGACCTTCCCATGGAGCAGCTCCACTCCCACGGGACAGGGAGCCTTGCCAAGAAACAACCAAGATCCAAGGAAAAACATAAAAACAACACCTGCCGAGGCAGGGGAGGGCAGTGGGAGTCCAAGGGTGAAAACTCCAGTGGGATCTCCCCCCGAGCATGCCAAAGGAATTACAGAACCACCTCAAAGCAAAGCCAAAGACAGCCCGGGGAGGGGGGGATTCAGGGGATCTGATGGGAAATGGGGTCTGGGAAGGGGAGGAGAGCTCGGGCATCGTCCACGCGCCCCAGAGGGGCCAACCTGCTCCAGGATAAGGCATCAAAGGGACCACGCCATGGTCACAGCAACATCTCTCCTCTCTCAAACGAACACATTTTATATTTTTATATATATAATAATAATATAGAATCTTTTCTCTTCTTTTTTTTTTTGCTTTTTTGGTTTTTTTTTGCTTTTTTGTTTTTTTTTTTTTTTTTTGCTTTTTT